TTTTTTTCTGACTGATACATTCCCAAGGGAGCCTGTTCCTGTTCTGTCCAGCAACACTGCCTCAGTACTGCAGGCAGGCAGGCAGGCAATATCTTCTCGTGTGCATCTAGGAGAGACTGCGTTGTAGGCTTGCCTCTCTGTCCCACTTCCCCTGCTAAGTCCACAGCAACTCTGCTGGGCTTCCTTGCCTGTCCCTCATGCTCTAGCTGTCAGAGCATCACAGTAATGGCAGGACCTTTTCATCTCTGGTTAAGCTCCAGTTACTCACTTGGAAAATGATTTCTCAAATGTCTATCCTTTGTGACAGTTTTCCATGCTTCTTTCCTCTTTTCTAAAGAAGGATCAGAAAAATAAGATTGACCTGTGTGAGAGTGTCTGTTTTCACATCATGAAGCAGGGCACATCTTACCTGGGGTTCTCGAGCTAAGCTAAGGTGTACACAAGCTGCTTAGGGAGGAGCTTTAATACTAAACAATATTGAAACAGCTTGAGGATTCAGAAAAGAACTGATTTTTTTCTAATATAAATAAAAGTTCTTCCATAGTTTATTCCTAGACCAAGCAAAAGTAGATTGTCTAAAGCACAAAGAAGTGCCCTATACTGACTGTCCTTAAGATAATAGGTGGCTGGGGTGCAACAAACAACTTAACCTTTCTATTTTCTCTTGTGGGCTCTAACCCAGGGCCTCAGTTGCACATGTTGGCAAGTGCTTTACCTTTGAGCTTCTGAGCTAGATCTCTAACCCCAAACAATCATTTCTGATAATTTGGTAATGTCAGTAAATTTCTAATTCAAATAATTTTGTTGCATCTAATGGTTTACTTAGAATTTATTACAACTTACAGCATGCTGATGTTGCTTAAAATGTAATATTTTAAGATTTCTTTTCAAATATAAATAGCATTTATTAATCAAAAATTTCCTTCCCTGCAAAGCAAACCCTTCAGATATATTATTCTTTCAAAACTTTTCTTTCTTTATATAATGTCATGCTAAGGATGGAATGATTTTAAAGGAAGTAGGCATTTAAGATTGTAACTGTGACATTACCAAGTCTTTAACATTTTTTAAAATTTTTATTTATTTTTTGATTGCCTGCATGAATGTAAGTATACCCCTGTCGTGCAGTGCCCATGGAGGTCAGAAAAGAATGTTGGACCCCCAGGAACTGGAGGTATAGATGGTTGTTAGCTACCATGTAGGTGCTGGGAATTGAACCCAGGTCCTCTGCAAGAGCAGCCAGTGCTCTTCACCGCTGAGCCATGTCTCCAATCCCCTAAAAGTCTTGATAGTACAGCAAAAGAAGCTCTTACAGTGTATTAACTAGGTTCACTTGTTTTTCAGGCTTAAATCCATTCCTGCTGAGGCAAGTGTCTTATCAGCCTTCTCCCCCTCACATGCTCCTATCTGTCTCCTATTCTCCTTGATAGAAATCCTTCAGACTTTCAGCCACCACTGACTTGCTTATTTCTTTTAAGACTGAAAGGAAATTTGGTGATGTGAAGGGTGAAAGCTTGAGTCCAGATGTCTAAGAGTCAAGTCGCTGGAGAGCTGCATCACCACTTAGCCCTGGGCAGGCCCCTCTCCTGTTTTAGAATTCTAACCCCTCAACCTTCCTCTTTCTTCCCCACTTAAACCAATGGAAAGCACAAGGAGAAGAAACATCTTGCTCCTCTGGTTTTTTGAGGGGGAAGAGAAATAATAGATAAGCAGCACTTAACAAATTTGCATCTTTAAATGTTCTTAAGGTGTAAGAAAACTACCATTTCGAGGGTTTTAAGGTAGACAGAATTTGCCCAATTTAAGCACTAATTCAGCTTTCCTTTAAGAAAAAGACAACTAGTTGTTTTTTAATTGCTGGGTTTTATTAAGATATTGGCAAAATTTCAACATACTCCTTACCTGAATAAACAGTTTTAATAAATAAAACATGAAGGATCACTTATGATTACAACTCAACTCAAAAGTGATCTGCAGAGCAGGTTTGTAAATCAGTAACTTCACTCGGTAAGAAATGACTCACTTCACTCACGTCACTCACTCCACTCCAGAGAGAATTCTTTGCAGAGAAATGTCATGAACAAGAGAAAGCTTGTCTCTCACCAAAGAGCACCTAGAGAGATTACAATGATGTGTCTGCATTATCTGATACATCAAAGTTAATTAAAGTACTTCCCTTTCAAAAGCAACTGCTGTGTCAGTGTGGAATTCCCTGTCCTAGTTCATATTTTCCAATTAGTATAATAAATAGACTTTGAAATAAATAAATAAATACTGTTGGAGGAAACAATTATTTTTTTCAGCACAGTACAATTTGTCTGGAAGATAGCTGTGTTATAATACTGGCAGTATCATTTTGAGAAAAAGTCTTAATCTTTTCATAGATCAAGATTGCGGGGGAGGGGTTGTGGGTTTCTTTTTTTTTTTCCTGTCTTCTAACATGGTTTTCAAAGATGGGGAGAAAAAAAAATCTTTTCCTAATTATCCAAAAAAATTTATCCCAAACAAAGGTGGGAACAAAGTATAGTAGCCCCCTTTGTAGCTTTGCTTAGGTGAAAAAACTCATTGAACAAATTCAGTTTAAAAATTAAAATAATTTAGATCATTTTCTCACAAAACCTCAGCAAGCCTTTGATGGGGGAGGAAGGGCTTGAAGCACAGCAGTTTCATCTGCAACACTGAACTGCTTCATCGGCACTCCCAAACAAAGGTGGGAACAAAGTATAGTAGCCCCCTTTGTAGCTTTGCTTAGGTGAAAAAACTCATTGAACAAATTCAGTTTAAAAATTAAAATAATTTAGATCATTTTCTCACAAAACCTCAGCAAGCCTTTGATGGGGGAGGAAGGGCTTGAAGCACAGCAGTTTCATCTGCAACACTGAACTGCTTCATCGGCACTCTCATCTGCCCCTTGGATGCTGCACTTCTTACTGGCACAGTGTTCTAGCAATGGAGTGTGGTGGTCATGAAAATGCAGTGTTGATGTTAGACCACTATTCAGTGTGGTCAGGGTTAGACAGTGGTGACATGGACATTGCTGATGTTGTCCTTTGAAAAGATGTTACTTTCAAGGAGCCGCCTACTTAAATCAGATGCAACATGGATTTTTAATTGTGTTACTTCAAGGACAATGGATGGCACTTCTAGGTAAAGAGAAAAGGTATATACATCTGTTTTTCTTCCTGGCCTCTAGTACAGACCTAGATGGTCTCAATAGCCCCAGTATTTGGTGCTATAATGTTGCCTAGCCTCAGATATCCCTCCCAAAGTACACATCTAAAAAGTGAAAAGGGAAACCTGGAAATTAGGGACTGATGCCCTTGGCAACTCACAGTGAATGCACAAGGAGCAGTAACCTGTTGTGACTCAGGTCTGTTTTCCTATCCAATATGACACTTTCTTGTTTATATTTGTTTTACTATTTCCTACTCTAACAAAACTGGTTTAGCAGGCAAACAGATTGATGCAAATCATGTTAAATTGAAAAAGGGATACTGCCACTCTTTAAGGATTGAGTGTAATACTTTCACCACCACTAAATTACACAATGAATAGAGGTACAAAACACATAATTCACAGACTATACCGCAGCATTTACAGTTAATATATATTATATAGATACTTTTATATCTGTCTAATGTTTTTACAATCACCAGATACACCATCATTAAATATAAGTTACAGAAATGTATAGATAACCATTAGTTAGAGGGTTACTTATTGCTTACTTTAGCAAGCAGCAAATTAAGGGCAGAGGATTTGAACTGAAGGGAACTACTTTCTATCACCAGTGGCATTAAGATTTAACACTGCATTTCACAAAGTGCTGCTTTTTGTCTAGTGTATAGAACCAACAGCAGCGTATATCAGACCAGTAACCACTACTTTAATATTATAGAATTTTAAAGGACTTACCTTACAAATGGTACCTAACTACCCTATAAATATGCATGTTGTGAACAAATGAAGTTATTTTTTACAATAGTGTTTTTTTTTTTTTAACTTGACCACTCTAGAACTACTTTTCTCTATTTTCTAGAGAGCTAATGATATGAGAAATGGAGTTAACACTGCTGTTTTGTCAGACTTACAAAATTCAGGCCTTTCAAAATGGGTCTTTTTGTCCCAGTTTCATCCACCAATTTTTACCCCATTGGAAAAAAGCCTATCGCTTCTAATTTTTTCTCTGTTCCCCTATCCCAACCAAACAACATTCCCAATAGGTAACTGCGGAAAACGTCTAAATTTTTTCCTAGCTACTTTGGGATATAATATGTACCAATGTTCTGCTGCCTCTGTTTTCTTGTTTCCTTAGATAATTTGGTTTAAAACTGACACTGCATCTGATGGGCTGTCAACAAGATCTGGGCTTCAAAAAATGACAGATATGAGTGAGGTCTGTGTGCAGGTGAAGCATCGGAGTGATGATCAAATCCTAATACTATCTGGGTGGAGCCACCTTTACTCCTTTTCACCCATGTCACAAGACTTGAGGGAGGAGTAAATGACTTCAAGGTCAAGAGAAAAATACTGAAATCACCACTTACATTCAAATTTTAAAAAATAAAAGCTGTAGATTAGCAGTCCGATCATTTTAAAGTGAAGCTGGGTTTTTGTTATTAATGATTTAATGTAGCTTTACTGGTACCTGTAATATGTTACAGTTATCTATGCTTTTAAAATGTGTGATCTTTAGTCCTCTGTGGGTCTGGAGAATGCAACATGATTGTGTTACTCTTAAAATATGATCAGGCAGTGGGTGTTCCTCAGTAAGAACATTTAGTGCCTCCACTATGAGTGACTGATCACCCCAGCAGCTCCTGCTACTGCGTGGCCTGGCTGGTCCACAGTTGATGGGGTGGGCAGGGGATATAGGTGGGTGAGACACGAAGACATTCATGACTTTCAGAATCACAGGCTGTTTTATGAAACAAACCTGATAGTATATTTACTCTCCTTAGTTGAAGATATATTTCTGGCTTGAAACTGTAGAAATGGCAAAATGATTTAAAACTATCAAATATAACTTAATACTGAAATGAGAGGGCATGACCTGTCTCTGCGGTCTGAAGCGGGTAGCTGGACTCTGGCTTGGCTTCCCGTTATAGCTAAACAGCCCTGGCTCCCAGTACTCTGCATTCTGCCCTCACTCGGCCTCCTTTGTACCAATTACTTCATTCCCTTGGGGAAAACAATTTTAGAGAGGTTACGACTAGCATTTTTCAATCTCTAAACCACTTTTTATCTCATAGTAATATATGCTTTTGCTGTCTGTAAACTGGAAAAAAAAAAAAAGGAGGAAATGTTTTAACTCTGTTTAAGTGGCATTTTGAGTCATGTATATTTGTACCTGACATCATCTCTATTAAACCACTTTTATTCCTGAGATGAAGGTACTGTGAAACACATTAGCATCGTAGATTAAACCGGCTGACAGTGGTCTGGAATGACAAGTAACAAAAATTCCACCAAAAGCACCATAGCAGCTTATGAGACTCAAATAACTAAAACCTTATGAAACATTTTAATTAAAAATGTAATAGTTACGTCTTTTGTTGTGTTTTCTATGGGAAAAAAATCAGTAAATTTTTTGACTATATACTGCCTCACAAGTCTGAGACTATGACACTTTCATACTAGTTTACGTCTTCCATTACCACCAGTTAAAATCCATATGGCTTTTAGTCTTTCACCCACCCAGAGTGGGGAGGGATCCTTCATAGTGCCCAGGATCTTGAAGAACGTCTCCAAACTAAGTTCAGTTGTGCATCGTTTGTCTTAGATTAGGCACATTAGACCAGATTTCTACTGAGTTGTGATTTCCACACTGTATATCCTGACTGAAATTACGCTCATCTTCCACTAGTGACGTGAAGGGATGGTGGCTAGGGGCTGTTGTAGGTGTAGACACATCACGGGGACCAGCTGTATAATTTTGCTAGTGAAACTGCCAATACTTTTTTTTTGTAAGATTGAAAACACTATTTTGAGTTTCCTAGAGATCTATTTACATTTAAGAATTGAGCCATCCATGGATTCATAATGAAGCACATGTGTGTTAGAAATGTCTACCTTGTTTCTACTCTGATAGTGGTATTTTTGAGGGAGAGCTAGCTAGCCTACTTTGATGAAAAGGTCTTATATTTTATAGCTCCAGGGAAGATCTGGGCATGGAATATCATTACTCTTTCTGACCTTCATTATGTTTTTACTATACCCTTTCCAATTACTTTCCCTCCATGGCAAAGAACTTCTTAACATCTTGTTTCTCTTCCCACTTTGAATAAGTGACAACAGGCTAATACCTATTTTGTGAGAAGGCTCTTGAGCAGAAAGACATGAATAAAACCTTGGATTAAACCTGAATCCACGTTGCCTTTTTGAGTAGTGATGGTGTAAATGATATAATCTAGACACTCTTTTCCCCAGGGATTTGAACTGTTCATTTTCTAACCCAGAACAGACAGGGGACAAGGTCTCCATTCTGCGTATCTGTTGCCCTGTTGAACCCCAATTAAAAGAAGCCAGAAACTCTCCAGCACCACTGTGTTCAGGCAATGATGACTTGTCTGATTTTTCCTTCATTATTAGCTCATTAATAAGATTTGCTTTCTTTGGTGCACCAGGACAAAACATCTCAACTGGTGGCAAAAACTGGGCACTGTGAGGTTTGCTTGCTTCTATTTGTGTGAGATCTAGGTAGCCTGGATCTTCCAGTACGTTGATTTGGGGCCCTGGGCTCAGGCTAGTTCTATCAGTGAATGAATCCACGCGCCCCTCATAGCCTAGATCGGCAGGTGCTGAGCACTGGTGCTGAGGCCACGGGCGTTTGCACTCTCCATGACTCTCCTTATCATCCCCACCATCTTCTTGCCCTCCTTGAAAAGAGTTCTCTGTCCAATCTGATTCCTCACTAACATTTACAGCTTTGTTCATGTCCCTCAGGAATACCACAATAACAGTGATATTATCACTTGACCCAGCATCCCGAGCTGATGCCACTAATTTGTGGGCAACCATGCTGCTGTCTCCATTATTCTCTTTCAAGTGGTCAGACACAACCTTCACTGCCTCATCAGGGTTCACGGTATCATAGAAGCCATCACAGGCCAGAATGAGGTAGTCTTCAGTCCCATCCAGAACAGTTGAGGCAGAGTCTGCATCTCCACAGATATATGGCTTATGTTCGGCATCTCCTGTGGGAATTAGAAAGGAGAGACATCAAAAGGCAGGTTGTGGCTTACCTATATGCTTAGAATGCTTGTGGCCCGTACTATGACTGATTATAATTTAATGGAAAGAATTTATAATTGTAGGTAAACCACCTGAATTCTATATTAGTCGGATGGTGTTCATACTTTAACTCTAGCTAAATTGTTGCCAATCGTGAGGCTTAATTCCTTATTGGATTTATGTTCTGAACCTTGTGCCTCTGGCTATGATTTCAGTTTTGCTGACTGGCAACAAGTAACATCAAATCTAAATTTGTTGCTGTACTGAAAATATCAGTCTTACATAGGAGAACTTTGTTGATTCAGTAGATCTCTTGTTCTTACTAGTGATTAAGTTTGATTTAATTGCAACTTGAGAACATTGAAGAAAAAGTTCTAGCCATCTTCCTCATTAAACAATTTTTGTTCTGTCCTTTTTCAGAAGTTAGTAAGTAGGTTTATGTTGTGAGCATGGAGGAAGGGATTTAACACCAAGTGTGACTCCCTCAAGCCGGGAAAACTCATTTGCTTTATCCAAAGTCTCCTACAAGGGAACCAGAATACAACTTGCTTGCTTCCCTGTCCACCCCTTCTTAATATTGCTTTATTTAACTACTAGGGGACAGAGAAAATACACAAATTTTCTCTCTTCTTCAGAGATGATCTTGCTGTCTTCATCTCTGATTACCTTTTTGTTATTGTTCACACCCCTCCACATACTCACACTTACTAACAACACCCCAAGACCCTATTCTGCCCTTTTTTTTCCTTCCTCAGTTCATTTACTCACAGAATGACATTTGAGCTGGGCCCTGAAGAGTAGGATAGCTATCATCAGGCAGAGAAGGTCCCTTGCTTGAAAGAACATAAGCAGACACAAGGCAATGTTGGGGAGTAATGTGTACTAGACTAGAGACTGTAGGTCCTCCACCGAATGTCACCTGATTTTCACAGTGCCTTTGGAACTTTCAGATGCAGAGCACTACCACATCCATGTATTGTTTTCATCTAGTTTCCCCTAGACACTTGGAGATAGCGTCTCTATTGTCCTTAGCCACCAAGCTACAGGTAAAGCAGTACCATATAAGTTTGTGCTGAGGACAGCACTTCTCTTGGACTGCTTAGCTCCAAATCCTAGCTCTTCTGCTTGTTGTCTACTAATTCTCGTTAATTACCATCTTTTCTATTGCACTAAAATGAAGATGAACTTAAGTGACTGATAGTGGTAATTGGTGTTAGTTGTGATTATAGTAAACAAAACCTAGAATCACCTGAAGAGTCTCAGTGAAGGATTGCATAGATTGTGTTGGCCTGTGAGTGTGCATGTGAAGGATTTTTTTCTCCCTTAATTGGGTTAATTGAGTTGGAGACATTGCTCACCGTGGGTGGTACCATTCCCTGGGTTTGGGATCTGGGCTGAGTACTAAGTATACATGCTTTGATTTCTCCCTGCTCTTGACTGGATGTGATGTGGCCAGCTGTCTGTCAAGCTCCAGCCCCCACAACTTCCCTGCAGTGATGGACTGTAACCAGGGATTGTGAGCTAAAATAAACCCTTTCTCCCCTTAAGTTGCTTGTTATCAGGGTGTTTATCATAGCAACAGAAATGAAACTAGGACAGAGGACTTCCTATACATTTCGTTGTTTCTGAATTCTGTTATTGGTTCCCTCTTGCCCAAGGAAGACTTCTTTCAAACATGTCAAACAGGCCCAGAAATTTCAATAGGAACTTTCAATAGGAACTCTGGATAACTCAGCTATAAACAATGTGGGCCACATGCTGTTTCCAGCACATTGTATGACTGGATACCAGAAAAATGGACAATTATATAATTATTTGTAAGTAAGAAACAGGGTCTTTTGACCCTATAAATACTCAGCTCACCCCTAATCTCAGATGTAGAACTATCATCACTCTCCTCCCTTTCTCCTTTTTTGAGACAAGGTCTCATGTAGCCAAGGCTGCCCTTCAGTGCCTGATCCTCTTGCCTCTACCTCCCAAGTGCTGGAATCACAGGCATGCACCACTACTCTGGGCTCTTAAGAAAGCATTGTTTTGATTGCATCAGTTTCCCTTCTTACTATAATGCCACCTAATAAACTGCTAATTATAACATCCAAAGTTGGGATTTAGTGTCCTCTGCTAGTCCACTTTGATTTTCCCTATTCTACCTGACTGAATTATTATTTTCTGAACTCCACCTCTAAAAATAAATGTGATCTGAGTCATACTGTTCTGAAAAATCTTGTCTTAGTGTTAACAATTAAAAGACTACTGCAACTGTTGATTTGGAACAGAACATACAAAGATTTGCACAAAGAAAACGCTGCCAAAATTCTGGCTTTTCACCTGCTCTACTGTTGGGTGTCAAATTCATGACATTTCGCCCCCATATTTGGTAGGAGGGCATAAATATCCATCTCATGGTGGAAGTGGCAACATCCTTTTGTTTTCAACCTCCTCTCTCCATATGCTAGGAAGTATACATGACAGTCAGCTTTGGCTCATAGATGAAGGGCTCACGGGGTAAAACAATAGAAAAACTGCATTGTCAAATTTTAAGTGTCATTTATTTTTAGGTAGGCTGAACTCTGTTCCATAGCCCTTTTTCTTGTCCCTATTTAACCCATTTCCATGATCTTCCAAATCTTCCATTCTCTAACTCTCTAACCCAGTTAAACTGGATTTTAGTAGATTAATTAATTTCCGACTTCAAAGAAACCTCACGTTTGTTAAGCTTGAATTTCCTCAGGGTTGGAGAGATGGCTCAGCAGTTAAGAGCATTGACTACTCTTGCAGAGGACCCAGGTTCAAGTCCCAGCACCCACATGGTGGTTAACAACCATCTGTAGCTCCAATTCCAGGAGATCTGACGCCTTCTTCTGACCTCTGCGGGCATTGCATGACACAGGTGCACTTATACACATGCAGGCAATACATTCATACACATAAAATAAAAATATTTTTTAAAAAGCTTGAATTTCCTCATCGGACCCTCCTCTCAAAAAAACAAAAACAAACAAACAAACAAAAAACACTAAACTTTTTTTCCTTTTTCTTCTTTGGAGTTGCCCTGTATCCACTACCATTTTTGAGTTCAAGTCCAGTCCCCCTTTCCTCCTGTCTCTCCAGATCTCAGGCTAAGCTCTCATTTTTCAGTTCTCTTCCTTACTCTCTTCCTACAAATGCACTCTGCCATCTTCTCATTCTAAAAATAAGTCATCCTGGTCAGGCGTAGTGGTACACGCCCTTAATCCCAGAACTTGGGAGGCAGAGGCAGGTGGATCTCTGAGTTCAAGGCCAGTCTGGACTACATAGCGAGTTCCAGGTCAGCTGGGGCTACAGGGAGACCCTGACTCAAAACGACCAAAAAAAGTCATTCTTTCTTAAGTCAGCTTTTCATCCAAGCCCCTGCACTATTTCCTTTCTCCCCTTCACCATCAAACTGCCCAATAAATTAAATCTACCCTTGCTCCTTTATGTTATTGCTTATTTTTTCTCACTTGATTATTTTCTATTCCTCCCTCCCTTCCTTTTTCTTACACTGTCTTAGTGTGTAGCCTAGGCTGGACTGAAACTAACTTACGATCTCAGCCTCTCAGCCTCCCAAGTGCTGTGATTAAAGGCATGTACCACCATGCCTATCTATATAACTTGATTAGTAGGGTTTTTGTTTTGTTTTGGTCTTTGTTGAGACAGGGTCTCCCTGTCGCCCCTGCTGCCCTGGCACTTGCTATGTAGAGCAGGCTGGCCTTGAACTCAGAGATCCACTTTATTCTCCCTGAGTGCTGGGATTAAAGGTGTGCACCACCATGCCCAGCTGATTAGCAGATTTTTCTACCGACCAATTTAAAACATTTCCCTCAGTTATCACCAGTTATTTCCTATTTAAAATTCCATTTCTTTTTAAAATGTATTTCTCAGAAGACGGCTACAGCCCTGACTACTCAGGCCTAGCAGCCTTCTTTCCCTAGCATCTGAAATACCTCATTTCTGTATCATCAGTCCCTTCCTGATTTTCTTCACTGTCTCCTTAATTTAATAGTGCTAACGATCATTGTGTGCTAACAATGTGCCAGGCCCAGTTCTAAATATGGTGCACATTATACCCTTTTATATACAAATTCCATGAGCTAGGTACTGTTATTCTCAGTTTACAAAGGAGCAAACTGGTGCTGATAAGTTCACTTTCCAAAATCTATAAACTATAAAGTCACAGAGCCAAGATATAAACCCAGGGAGTCCAGCCAGCCACTATGTTACCCTTAAGTCATGGGCCTCATCTCTGTCGTCTCTGTGTGTGCAGGTGTCCTTGAAGGTCAGAGGAGGACATTGGATCCTTAGAGCTGGAGTATTATGCGGTTGTGAACCACCTGATATGGTGCTGGGAACCAATCCTGGTTCCTCTGAACAAGCAGCAAGCAAGCAGTCTATCTCTCTGACCCTGTCGGCTTCATCTTGGCGTCTTCGTACAATATGTTTTCTGAGCAATGTCACACATGCCTGTACTTTAAACATGCATATGTATGTGCACATGTACTACATATTGCCAAGATGGGATGAGTTGTCAAGTCCTTGTCTCTAACCTATAACTCGCAGCTAAGCTCCATATCTTTTTTTCCAAGACATCTTATTAGTTCCTGAAATTGAAAATATGTCCAGCTGAACTCATTATCTCCCCCCCAAAATAAACCTTTGCTGCTGCTTTATTACAAATGTAGTATCATCTTCCCACTCATAAGTCAAAAAACCTGGAAGGTAGTTTTCCTCTTCCCCATAACCTGTCATTCTGTCACCAATGTATGCCCTCCTCTGTCTCCCGTTTTAGATATTCATGTCCCAACAATGTACTCATAGCCTTTTTTTTCCTCCTTCTACTTTGAAACAGGGTTTCTATGTAGCCCTGGCTGGCCTGGACTTACTGTGTAGAGCAGGCTGGCTTCAATCTCAGAGATCTGCCTGCCTCTGCCTCCTGAGAGCTGGGATTAAAGGTGTGCACTAGTACACCCAGTACCCATAGCCTTTTAAATGTCCTCCCATCTAGACTCTTGTTGGTCTTCTGTGCTGTAACTACAAATTTTTTATAAAGGCAAAGCTGATGGAGTGGTCCCTCTGCTGCTTCACCTGGTGAAGTCCTGAATACTTCGAGTCAAATATGAAGCCCCAACACCTCTAACCTGGCACTCCACCCTCTGTTCTAGCTGCTGGTACTTGTTACTATCTAAAACACGAATGCCCTTTCAAACTCCCAGTAGTTACACTTATCTACAGCTGGGGTTTCCTTTCCTGAATGTGCTACTGCCTGCACCCCACTGAAAAATCACTTCATCTATGATGTCTTCCTCATTTGCTCTTAGTGAACACTTATTCGAGAACATTCTTCTTCTGCTTTACTTTCACCTTATGTTTTGTTTTTAGAATCAAGGCATGTATCTGCTGGTAAGTTGCTCTGTAGGGGTATTCCTCAGTTTTCTGACAAACACCATCAGAAGAAAAGATAAAGAAGAGGAGGTATTTGACAACTCTAGTTGTCAAAAATAATTCTGTATGAATATATTTTAGACTCGAGAATTTCTCCCTTTGTGGCCTTGTTCCAGAGTTCCTAATAGCTCTCTCGGTGTAAGGTAAAGCTGTTTTCAAGAGGAACTTGCATTCATTTAGCTTTCTGTTTCTCATTTAGCCTCTGCTGCTCATATTTGGGCCACTTCACAGCTTGCCAGCGCCTCCCCCAAGAGTGGGAGAAACTCAAATCACTGATGAAGCTAAACCAAACCTTTCAGATTTTCCTACTGTTCTAGAAATCTTAATAATGATAAATTTGATAATTAGATATGAACTTGGCCCATGCTTCTTACTTTTTTTTAGAGAAGAAAAGGTTAAGAATTGCAGTATGCATGCATATCTGTACATCCACCCATGAAGACACACATTTGTCTTTCAAAAGCTGGGAAGGGAGGCTAAACTGTGACGGCTAACAACAAATCTACACCCCAAAATGAGACAATGGCAGGAATAGCCCAGTTCCTACAAAATTACACCCACAGTTTTGTACAATCATTTGTTCAATCTCTGTTTAATACTGACTTTCCCTTTTGAAAAGCTTAATTTTCAGGGAGACAAGTTCTTTTGAAATGGTTAAAGGGTTTGGAGAGATGGCTCAGTAGTTAAAGGCACTAGGGACCTGGCTACAGATGACCTGGGTTTAGTTCCCAGCACCCATATGGCAGCTAACAACCATCTATAACTCCAGTTCCTGGGAATCCGATGCCCAGTCTGGCTTCTGTGGGCACTGCATGCACATGGTGCACTTACATGCAGGCAAAATACTCATACCTGCCAGGTTTGGTGGCACACACCTTTTGTCCCAGCACTTAGCAGGCAGAGATCTCTGAGCTGAAGGCCAGAGTCGTCTACATAGTTGAGCTCTAGGTCCGCTGGGCCTACAGAGAGACCCTGTCTCAAAAAAGACCGTCCCCCTGCCAAAAAAACACTCATACATGCTGCCAGGTGTGGTGGTGCACACCTTTAATCCCAGCACTTGGTGAGATGGAGGCTAGCCTGGTCTACATGGTGAGTTCTAAGGCCAGCTAGGGCTATAGGGAGACCCTGTTTCAAAAATAACAACAAAAACACTCATACATAGAAATTTTTTAAATTGCTCTTTAATGTTGGTAAGGGCTGGGGATGTAGCTGAGTGGTAAGAGCTCTTGCCTAGCATGCAGGAGACCTCAGTTTTGATCCCTGGGTGATGGCAGGAGGAATGGGATGAGATGGAATAATGAATTTGAACCCAGGGTTATCTGACAAGTTGTTATTTCATAACCAGTTTTCCTATAAAAGTATGCTGTTTCTATGACATCTGCTTACATCATTTTATAATTCATTGAAAAAAGATGAAGATAGAAACAAAATATAGCTAAAGTATGGAGGGAGCTTCCATTTTTTGGAAATACTGATTTAAGTTAAATTTAACCCAAAATGGAATGAAATGATCATTTTGGTTTTAAGCAAATTTATACACTAACTTGAAGACTTCTATTAAAAGAATAGAACTTGGAGCTGGGGAGATGGCTCAGCAGTTAAGAGCACTGGCTGCTCTTTCTGAGGACCCAGGTTCGGTTCCCAGCATCCACATGGTGACTAACAACAGTCTGTAACTTCAGTTCCAGGGATGTGGCACCCTCTTCTGGGCATTTTACAACATGGATACACTTACATACATGTAGGCAAAATACTCATGCACATAAGATAAAAATAAGTAACAAAGAATAGAAACTAGTACATTATTTCTTGAGATAAGTCTCTTTTTATAATGAATTTTAAATGTACAAATAATCAGGCATAGTTAAATAACAAGGTACCCGATTGTTACTTTGAATGATGAGAACCATCCTGATGTAAACGAGTATCTGGAGCTCCTTCATGTCAAAGTTAATACAAGACAGTGCGCTAGAAGATGTTAGTTTGGAGAAACAAAATGTTTCCTACCTATAGCTCTGGAGACTGACAGACTTCCATTCACCCTCCAGGCACCAAACCAAACTACACAGCCTCCAAGAGCCTCAATTCGCTGCTTTTCATCCTAAACAGCAGTGCAATAAAAAGCAAAGAACTGGATTCAGGATTTATTCATTTACTTGCACAGTAAACATAGGTATGTTACCCATCGGCTTTCTGAAAAGGTCTTCTGTACCCTTCCTATATGATGTGGGCATAGTTACTTAGATTAATGGCAACAATAATAATGATGATAATAATTAAAAGAATCCTAATGAATTACTACAAAACTGCTTTTGTGACATGTTCTATTAGAACAAATCATACATACCTCTCTGTCTGGTTTATGTGGCTTCATTAGTTCAACAGCTTGGCCCTTTCTCACAAGCATAACTTGGGAATCACCCACCCATGCCACGTGGAGCATGTTGCCTCTGATAAAAGTTACCACACCTGTGGTCCCACATCGTAAGCTCTGAAAATAATTTAAGAGCAGAGTCAATGAAAATCAAAGACACCAAATTCTCACTGAGAAGCAATTTAGAATTAATATAAACTTCTTTGAGTGGGAGGCTATTGGTAATACAATTTCACATGTTTGAAATTCATGTTTCTCAACATTTTATTTTATTCTATTTTGTTTTATTGCAACAGATTCTTACTCTGTAACCCAGGCTGGCCTTGAACTCACACATTCCACCTACTTCTGCCTCCTGAGTACTGGGACTAAAGATATGCACTACCACACCTGGCTCAGAGCATTATATATGCATGTTTGTATTTACATTTACACACAAATCCACTTGATCTGTGATATGCAAAACAGGAATGGTTATCAATTTCATTTTAAATATAGATTTTAAAAACTGGGCCTGCTGAGATGGCTGAGCAGGTAAAGGTGCTTACTGCCAAGCCTGATGACCCAAGTTTGATCCCTGGGACCCACACAATAGAAGGAGAGAACTGATTCCTGCAAATTGTCCTCTGACCTCCCTCCCCACACATGCTGGGTTATGTGTGCACATCTCCTCCACCCCCCATGTATACACACACTAAATATTTTAAAATATGTTTTTTTAAAAAACTGTCAGATGTTGTGATTTGTCCAAGGGCTGATAAACTGTTTAGTATACAAAACGGCTGGATTCTTTGTTCCTCCTAGTCACTGCCAAATCCATTATATCAACCCTTTTCTTAAAGGCTTCCACAGTTTAGTCTGTTTCATTACTAACCCTACTGTGTATAATCAGTTCAGTGTCCTAACTGCACAATAATATTGTGTGTGTGTGTGTGTGTGTGTGTGTGTGTGTGTGTGTGTGTCTAAAGCATTTTCTTGGTACAGAAGAAATGTTCTCAATCTCTGGATATTAAGGAGCCAAGAGAGCACACATTTGTTGAACTAAGATGCTTATATACCTTTAAAAACAAAAACAGGAAAATCTTCCCTATAATATTTTTAGAGATATTTGGTTTTAACACTGCATAAAGAACAGCCCATCCAGAGTTTCCCTGCACTATCTACCACAATGCTTAAAGCTCCTGATCCTACTACACTAAAATGACATCTCCATTTGACATGAGTCACCACCAAATGAGCATGACTCTGTTACTAAGGACCTGGCCTAAATTAGAACCCCTGCATCAGGGGTGGTAAAGGGCTTCATGTATCGAATGAGAAAAACAACTTCTCTTTTTCCCTATATAGGGAAAGTTTGTTATAAATCCTCACCCACCAATAAAATGTCTTCCCACACAGAATGTTCAAAAACTCAGCCCTCTGGAACGCACGATAAAGACACTTCAGTGCATATGCCCTGGAGAGAACAGGAGGCAGGGTTGCTTCACAGCAGGAATAGCTACTTTTCCCAGCAGTAAGTAGCACATGGAAGCGCAAGAAGAGAAGAGTGACTGCTGAGGTGGACCCAAGTTATCAAGAGATGCCGGCCAGAAGCAGAGACACTAGGGCCACAAGACACTAGGATGCTCGTAAAGCAAGTGAGGAGAGCATGGCCAGGAAAGTCCTAATTTTGAGGAAAGAGAGAAAAAGGAATCAAGGATTGAAAGAAAAAAAAAAAAAGACGGGTTGGAGAGATGACTTAGTGGTTAAGAGCACTGACTGCTTTTGCAGAGGACCCAGGTTCGATTCCCAGCACCCACATGGCGGCTACGAGCTGTCCTTAACTCCAGTTCCAGGGGAATCTGAAGCTCTCTTCTGACCTCTGCAGCATTGCACGACATAGGTGCACTCACATACATTCAGACAATATACTCTTACACGTAAAATAAAAATAATAAATATTAAAAAAAAAAAAAAGACAAAGTGATTGCCTCACATTGATGATGACAGATCACCCACCAGGCTGGCCTTGTCTCAGAAGCTGAGCACCAGCAGCCTCGGGAGACTGAGCTGAACGGAGTGTTAGCTCTCCCAGCCCAGCCCAGGAAGATCTGAGGTGGCATTTCCTTTTGCAGTCTCCCTCTATCTGTGGACCCTGGTGGTTACTGTGGTTAGTTTGCATGTTAGTTCAAGCTTGGAGGAGGAGTAAAGATAGAGAATACTCTGGCTTTTTATCATGTACTTCTGAGTTGTTGCTTTGCTAATTCCAGGTCCCATCATTCCTTTGTAGCCTAACTGTGAGGTCAGAGAAATGGATTAAATGATAACCATGATCTTTCTGTCTTAAAAGTTAATGTTTATGTCATGTGGCAAGAGTGTTCATTTTTGTGTATATCTAATTATGTAATTACTTTTGAAAATTAAAAAAGTTTCTATTGGTCCCCCAGTTAAAAATCCAACATAGAGTACTATAGTAAATTATGTACCAATGCCAAGAATGATAATTAGATCGTGTATTTTTTACTTTAAGCCTTAATATAGAGCCCCTGAACTTCATTCAGAGTAAAAGAAACTTAGGTCTGATCAGCCTTAGCAATATAGGGTGTGAGTGCTGGCTTTTCTTCCTATTAAAAGAAAATCAGTTCAAGGATCATCTAAGGATTCATCCTCTACAGTGAAATTTTTCCCTGGAGAAACAGTAAAACATTGTCTACTCATTTAAAACCAAATATATGGAAGTGATCCCAGTTTCTGTTTCTTTTTTAAAACCATTGTCTTTTATTCACTATATCCAGATCTTGTCAGCAAGAGTGCTTAGAGAGATGGTCCTAGTGGGAAGCTGTCAGGCAGTGGGAAAAATGAAACAAAACTCACCTGCCAAATCCAGCAAGGATTTTAGAAAGGTGGTCAGAAAACCACAGCCTGGGGGTCCTTTACAGTCTATCATTGTGCCCCATAAAAATTATTCCTGAAGAACAAACTGGATTTAGAATCGAGCACAGAGTCCAATATGAGGGGTCAAAAAAAAAATAGTTTGGATAATGTCTGCCCCAAAAGAAATCCAAAATAGCCCTTTAACCACATAGACCTGGTTGAGCTCAGCTAGAGCTCTCATGGCCAGAATTCACAAGCAAGTGGCATACCTCCCTGGCTGCCTTCTGCACAAATCGCTCGTCTGTGACCCGGAAGGCCCGGCACAGAGCCTCAGCAGGATCATGGGGGAACATCTCCTGGCGTACTAAGTTTACATGTAGGTGAACAGAGGCATAAATGGCGGCATCCACTCCCCCATGGCCATCAAACACTGCAAAATAAGCTTGTTCTTCCTGGTCCTGTCAACAGAAACACAGACCATTAAGGAGTGAGACATATTGCCGTTCATATGGGCCGACCCCCCTGGAAACAGCCATCCTCCCCTATCACATTTGTTGTTCATATAACAAGACTAAATTTTTCCCTTCTCTGACATGCCTGGTCAGCTGCTGAATACCTGCAATATTAGGGCATCTGTGTTTACACACCAGGCCCTGGAACACATCATGCCCAATTAGCGCAGGCTGAAGTGCCCTCTCTGTGAAAGTTGTTGTCTTGTACCATGGAAACCACCCACGTACATTTGCTTCAAAATTACTGTTATAAGTTGGGGGGTGGAGAGGAAGGAGAAGGTATGAGGAGGAATTGAGCAAAAGCTGTTCTGGATTGAGTGCTTTCTTTTTTCAAAATTCCAGAGAACAATAGAAAATAACTGGCCTTCCAGCACAAGGCCAATTGTGTTCAGGTTGTTTAAAATACATGGTGATAAAAGCATACACAGCTCTCAACTCTAATACCTCTTTCATACACCATTCTCATCACAGTGAATTCTTGCCATGAGTAACAGTCTCTAAAGTAGTTAACCAAACTTGAGCCACATCAGTTGCCTAATGTATGGCTGGCAACTTTGCTTTGTCCCACCTTCTAAGATTCAGCTTTACACTTCTCACAAGGCTGACTGCCAGGATTGAGTCTTCCAATCTTCTGCTTTGTCTTGAGAAGTTTACTTTTTGAGAACCAAATAGTTTGCTTTTTTTCCTTCATTTTCAGCTTAGGTGTTTGAATCTCAGATCTGTGAGTCACTCGAGTTTTGCTGATCACTTAGCTCCCTGTAGGCTGTACTAATGATTTTCATTTGTGTCACTGAATTCTTTTTTGTTAGGCTCCAGGAGCCTTAGAGGAGTCCAGGTTCTGTCACAGGCCCTTGAGCAAATCTTCAGGGGTTGGGGGGCGTGGGTGTTTGGCTTTGAGTTTTGGTTTTTAGTATTAGTTTTTTTGAGACAGGGTCTCATGTAGCCCAAGCTAGACTCAAACTCGCTGTGTAGCCAGGGCTGGACCTTGAATTCCTCGTCCTCCTGTCTCACCTTTTGAATGCTGGGATTATAGGTGTGTGCCATCACACCAGGTGTAAATCATTTTCATATCTGTCAGGTAGAGATGAGATGCCACAAGAACATCTGTACTTTGAAAAGGGTCTCATTAACAAAATATCCACATGTAAATGTCCAAGAATAATGGTAATGCCCAAATATGATGAAATATATATCTACTTAAATTACAGCTAGTTCATCTTACAATTTAAGCAAAATAATACATAATGCCAGTGAAGACTGACTAAATAGAATTGGCTAGTAATAATCCTGACATGTAGAATTTCTATCTAGACTAAAATAGTACTTGATTTTAAACAACTCAGTATAAATTAGGGAAAAAAGAACAGCAAGTAGGTGTCTTTCAAAAAGTAGTATAGCCGGGTGTGGTGGCGCACGCCTTTGGCCCCAGCACTTGGGGGGCAGAGACAGGCAGATCTCTGTGAGTTCGAAGCCAACCTGGTCTACATAGCGAGTTCAGGTCAGCTGGAACTACAGGGAGACGCTGTTTCAAAAAGACCAAAATAAAAAGTAGTATAAGGCCAGGGATGTAGATCAGTGGTAGAGTACTTAGCTAGCATGTGTGTGGCCCCAGCACTGCACTCATTTTCTTTTTAAATGGCATAGCTTCTTTAAAAGGAAAAAAGTTTTTCTAGTAATGTATAATTTATTTAAAATAGTAAGCATAGGACCAGAGAGATGGCTCAGTGGTTAAGAGCACTGGCTCTTCTTGCAGAGGACTTAGGTTTCAATTCTCAGCACCCACATGGTGGCTAAAAACCATCTGTAACTCCAGTTCCAAGGATCCAACACCCTGTTCTGACATTCTCGGGTCACACGTACACTTACATACATTCAGGTAATATACTCATACACATGAAAAAAAATTTTTTTTAATTGTAAGCATGGGCTAGGTATAGTGGTGCACGCCTTTAATCCCAGCCTTCTAGAGGCACAGGCAGGTGGATTTCTATGAGTTTGAGGCCAGTAAGGCCTACACAGTGAGTTCCAGGTCAACCAGGCCTAAACAGTGAGACTTTGTCTCAAAAAAAAATGTAAAGCCAGGCGTGGTGGCGCATGCCTTTAATCCCAGCACTTGGGAGGCAGAGGCAGGCGGATCTCTGTGAGTTCAAGGCCAGCCTGGTCTACATAGTGAGTTCCAGGCCAGCTGGGGCTACAGGGAGACCCTGTCTCAAAAAGACCAAAAAGAAAAAGTAAAGTATGAAGAAAATAAATACCACTACAATCCCACCATCATAGATAACCACAATATCTATATATCCATGGTCTGGTTTTGCTTGGATTTTTTTTTTTTTAATTGTTTGGAATGCTAAGGATCAAACCTAGGACTTCGGGTATGCTAGACAAACATTTTACCCCTGAGCTACACATCCCCAGCTATAAATATAAATGCATACTTTTGATTTTTGAGATGGTCTTGCCTTGTAGCCAAACTGACCTTGAACTCTAGATCCTCCTGCCTCAGCCTTCAGAGTACAGGATTACAGGTGTGCAGCAGCACTGATATATTTTCAAAGTCAGGATTATAGTATACATGAAATTTTATGTCTTGCTTTTTGTCATTTATGCCATTAGCATTTCTGCATGTCAATAAGTATTGCTCAAGGTCGTTATCATAAATGGATTATGACGCGCATCCTTGAGCATGCCATCATTTTTTCCCTTTAATGATTTTTAGATAATTTCCAATTTTTTATTAATAATGTATTAAACATTTTAAAAAACATATTAATAAGACTTTTTTTTTTTTTTGGTCTTTTTGAGACCAGGGTCTCCCTGTAGCCCCAGCTGTCCTGAAACTCACGATGTAGACCAGGCTGGCCTTGAACTCAAAGATCCACCTGCCTCTGCCTCCCGAGTACTGGGATTAAAGGCATGCGCCACCACGCCCAGCAAGACTTCTTATTTTATATATGCACGTATATATGACTTCTGTATTTCTTTTTCATTGTGATATCAGATCAAAGGTAGGAAACTATAAAACTATAAATATTTGTTGCCTTCAAAACCTGTTTTGCTACATCAAGGTGCTTCTTTCTGAGTTAGGCCTTTGGGCTAGTTTTCAAATTCAGAGACAAAATGAAAACCAGCCATGTCAACAAGCCAGCAATAAGGCCCTTAATCTGAGTGTACTCTTCAAGTAAGTGTAGTGACACAGAGACTGTTTATGAAGAGGCCTTTGGATTATATTTGCGCAGATGTGGAAATGAAGGTATCAGCTTCTGTCTTTGTAAGCTCTGACTGCCAGCCTGCCATCACTGCTGCTGATTAGCTCTTAACAGCTGCTGAGTGAAGAATGCTGTGCCCTGTTCAGGTGCTACATTGGAATGTTCAAGTTACACTAAGGAGAGCTGTGCAGTATACAAGTGCTACGTTGTATATTCAAGTTATGGACTTAAAAGAGGAAGAAAAGGCAAGTAACAAGCAAAGGAAACAAACCTACCTCTGTTTGCATTAGCATAATACATTTAATAGAAAAAGAAGGGGAAGATGGCAAGAAAATGGTTATGAAGCTGACAAGGCTCCTGTGGATCCAATCTGTCAGTCACAGATTTGTGAATATAATTCCAACTACTTTCCTATCTCAAAGAGCATGATTTCAAAATCACATAAAATCAAAAAATTGTCTCAGCCTTAAATTTATTCTTTTATGTTTGTGTTTTGTGTTGCTTCAGCAACACAGTACATTGGGAATTTAATAAACACTGCTTGATTTTACTGTACAAATATTTTCCTTTAAAAAACAGCTTTATTTGAGATATGATAGTTTTCTAACTATATGCAAATAGAACAGCTTTAGAAGCTTACACAAGAAACATAACTTTCCTTGCCTTCTAGCCTTCATGGATGGGAACTGGGTGTCTGGAAGAGATTTTTACTTTCCCATTTTGAACCATGTGAACTTATTAAAAATAACATAATGTTCCCAATTTGGAATGATTTGAACTTACTTAAAATAACAAAATAGTTCTGTTTTTTAATGCAAGCAAATTTGCAGTCAGCCTCCCTCCATCCTATCATAGACTGTAGGAACACTAGATCTCCATTCTAACAGGACCATATCTCACTGAATCCAGAAGTGCCCTTTACCTCTAGGTTGAAGAGCATATTAAAGTCAGGAATGCAGACATGTTTATCCTCCATTTTCCTGCGCATGTTTTTGATGGCATGGATGGATGTCTCATAATAAAGCTGGGGCCTCCTGCGGAGAGGGAAGTCTTTCACCCAGCTGCAGCAAATCTCGTGTAGTTTGCTGAAGACAGAACGGGCCAATTTCACTGTCTCAATCTCTGTGAAGGAAACAGAAACCCCCGATGAAGAGCCGAGCAACACTGCTTCTCTTTCATCTGCTTGTAGGACAGAAGTAGGTCACCTTCATCAAGCTCCTCCTTAACAGAAGAAATTCTTCCTCAAGGAAAAATGCAGCTTCTGAAGAGAGGAAATGGCAGCCTACCTAGTAGAAAACCACCACCAGCAGCTGCCACCTGCCTTGTGTGACAGGAGAACACCTCTGGTCAGGGCTGGATCTGTTTCCAGGCTTCTCTCCCCGGAGGTGAGCTGGCCTCTGCTCTCTAGTTCACAGCACCCCTTCCTTGTGGGTGGCTGCTGCAGTTATCACATGGAAAGCCAGGCCTTTTAGGCTGGGCAGAATGACTGAAATATGAACATGGTTATTCAGCAACTGGAACAGGAAAGGCGATGAAAACAGCTCACAGACTAGAGCAGTAAGAGTGTACCTTGGTAGCCATTTACCTTTGTTCCTCTCCTTCTGACCTCCTCTTTTACCTTCCGTTTCCCAACTTTTCGCTCTCTTGAAATGAGTATCATTTGGAACTGAGCTACATATTTTTCTTTGATATATTTATTAAAGTTTTAGGCAGTAATTGAGTCAATAGGATAAGTGATAAAAGTTTATTTCTTGGCCAGGCATGGTGGCACATGCCTTTAGTCCCAGCACTTGGGAGGCAGAGGCAGGAGGATTTCTGTTTTGAGTTCAAGGCCAGCCTGGTCTACATAGTGAATGCCAGGTCAGCCAGGGGCTACAGGGCGACCTCTGCTTCAAAAAGACAAACAACAACAACAAAACAACAAAAACCCCACCTGAATGCTGTCTATATGCATGACCCTGGATAGAATAAAAGGGGAGAGCAATCGGAGGAGCAATACTAGCGGGATCTTCGCCTAAGTGTAGTATTTTTTTAAGGCAGAGTCTTATGCAGCCTGGGCTGACCTTGGTCTCTGTTGCCTCCACTTCCCAAGTGCTTACTTCACCTCAACTCTACTACTGACCCATCAGGTAACAGCTGACTTCTGAAGCAGACTTGTGACCCTCAGCAAATGACCAATGTGTAAGCAACATCAAAGGGTATTGGAGAAACTATCTCATCATTAACTGTCTACTCAAGCCGTGTTCTACTCACATAGCAGCTACTCAGCCAAGATTAGGTTTTCCCAGGCTAATATTCTAGATGTGGCTCCTCTATTCCAGGTCAAAAAAAAAAAAAATTGGAACTCTTAAAAAATTACTTGGCTTCGCAAATCAGATGTCACTTGACAGCCTGAGGAAGTGGTGTGGCAGCTGAGCAGGGACTGCAGATGCTTCTGCAGGCCCAGAACAGAAAGGCCGAAGGAGAGAGACTGTATGTTCCTGAGCAGCCTGGGAGCCCTCAGGCCCGCCTCAGCCTGAGTCTGTGACTGCATTTCTCTCTTTTCTTATGCAAAATTCTTACATACTTTTTTCTTTCTTTTTTTTGTAATGCTGGGGCTATGAGAGCCTTGTGTATGTCACGTAAACACTCTACGGACACTCAGTAATATCCTCAGCCTTTTGCAAAATTCTTTTTCAATTATTAAAAAAAATTTTTTTTTGTCTTTGTGAGACAGGGTCTCTCTTGCTTTGTACCCAGACTAACCTTGACCTTGTTATGCAGACCATGCTCATTCCTTCAATTATTTAAATTTTTAAAAAATATTTTATTATTTTTATTTTATGTGTATGTGTGTGTTGCCTTCCTGTAGGTAAGTGCACCCATGTCGTACAATGCTCACAGAGGACAGAAGAGGCTGTTATTGGATCCCTGGGACTGGAGTTAGACAGTTGTTAGCTGCCATATGTGTGCTGGGATTTGAACCCCAGTCTTCTGTAAGAACAACCAGTGTTCTTAACTGCTGAGCCATCTCTCCAGCCCCTCAAAATTCTTTTAAAATGATTATATTCAGAAAGCTGGTTTCAAGTATTTTATTTATGTTTCTTTATTAACAAAGAACAGGGTTGCAAGTATTATTTTGTGGTTTTGTACCCTTTAACATTTTTCTGTTTGTTTTAAGACAGTGTCTTCTTAGCACAGGCAGCTTCCAGTCTCTCAAGTGCTGTGGTTGTGGATATGGACTATCATACCCACCCTGCCCCTAACAATTTTATATATGGAAACAAGAGTATACTTGAAAGAGAAATGAAGTCCAGAGAGCGAATACTGCCTGAGGACATGTATACAAGAAACAGGCCAGTAAACAACTCAGCATTTTGGAGAACAAACTCTAAATGTTTGTTCTTTTAAAGTACTACAAGCTGTAGTAGCTGCTGCAGGAGAGGCTCCCAAATGCAGACCATGACCTCAGGGTGTCCCTGTTTCACCCAGTCACAGCAATGGGTTACAAAACAACTGAGTTCAGAGACGCAGAGGGAAAATGGGAAGGGTGAAACAAATGACTCCCAGCTTATAAACTGTTCCATCACTCTTTGGTTTGTCTGTTATTTTCATTATATAGACCTACACTGTCCAAAGAGGGAGCTACTGGCTACATGTGGATATTTAAATTAAATAAAATTTAAATGTCAGTGCTTGTTTCAAGTGTTCAATGACCAAATGTGGCTAATGGCGACTATACTGAACAACAGAAGCAGGAGAGCTCTCCATTACTGCAATCTCTGTTGACTAGAACTGCTGTAGATGAACTAATAGGGGAAGCAGCTTCCGCTGGGATTTATAAACAGGTTTTTTTTGTTTGTTTGCTTGCTTTTGTTTCCTTCTTTTTCCAAGGCGTATTCTCATTATTTAGCTCAAACTGGTCTGGAACGCCCCACACAGACCAAGCTGGCATTGAACCTGGGGTGATCCTCCTGCCTCTGCCTCTGAGTGCTGGGATTGCAGTATAGCACCATGCCCAGCTCCCCTAAGGTTGAGTAGCTGCTGATCTGCCCTCTGCCACTTGCTCCCTGTGTGCTCATTATACTTTGTACCATCTATTACAACTTTGTTTTTATTTTATGTGTACAAGTGTTTTGCCTATATATATGTATGCATATGTATATATGGATGTATGTACCAGGAAAACCACACGAGGGCATGGAGCCACTATGTGGGTGCTAGGAACCAAACCCAGGTCCTCTGAAAGAACAGTAGGCGCTCTTAAACACTGAGCCATTTCTCTAGCTCTCAGTCTACTATAACTCTTGAACCACATTTGTAACAGTAGATATGGCTGATAACATTTATTATGCATTTCTGTCTCTAGAACACTTCACAAAGGTAAACTTTATTTAAAGTCCATTTCATTTCCCAACTAGACTGCAGATAGACTGCCTTAATTATGCTGATTAGTCATAGTACAATACCTTGCATATAGCAGGGACTCATTAGATGTTTGGTGAATAAATGAGCATGTAAACTAAATAAGCATTAAAATATTTATAAACTCCTTGATTGGCTACTCTGCTTCACTTATTTCTCCATCTGCTTTTACTGTGATGTATGCTTTAACAGCAGACTTGTTTTCCTTTCTGTTACTCTTTTTTGTTAAAAAATTTTTTTTCTATTTTTTAAATTTTTTTTATTTTATGTGTATGAGTGTATTGCCTGCATGTAGGTAAGTGCACCCATGTCATGCAATGCCCGCAGAGGTCAGAAGAGGCTGTCGGATCCCCTGGGACTGGAGTTATGGACAGCTGTTAGCTGCCATGTGGGTGCTGGGATTCCACAAGAACAACCAGTGTTTTTAACCGCTGAGCCATCTCTCCAGCCCCTATTTCTATTTTTAAAAAATATTTTATTTATTATTTTTATTTTGTGTATGAGCATATTGCCTGCATGTGCCATAGAGGTCAGAATAGGGCTTCAGATTCCCCTGGAACTGGAGTTAAGGATGGTTTATAGCCACCATGTGGGTGCTGGGAATCAAACCCGGGTCTTCTGCAAGAGCAGTCAGTGCTCTTGACCACTGAGCCATCTCTCCAGCCCCTATTATTTCTATTTTACATGTATGAGTATATTTCCTGCATGTTTGTAAGTGTACCCATGTCATGCAAAGCCCACAGAGGTTAGAAGGGCATCAGATCCCCCGGAACTGGAGTTATTGACAGTTGTTAGCTGTCATATCGGTGCTGGGAATCAAACCCAGGCCCTCTGAAAAAGCAGTCAGTGCTTTTAACCTCTGAGCCATCTCTCCAGGCCCTCCTTTCATTTTGTGTGTGGCAGTGGCATGGTGTATTCTGTGTCCATGTTCGTGGGGGGGGGCATAGGTCAATGCCAGTGTCATCTATCATCTACCACCTTACTGTCTGAGACAGGGTCTCTGAATTTGAAACTCACTGGTTCAGCAAGACTAGCTAACCAATGGGCTAAGGGATAATGTCTGCTTCCCCAGCACCAGGATCCCAGAGGTATATTACCATGCCCAGCTGTTGACATGGCTGTTGGGGGCTGAACTCACCTTTTCATGTTACTGAATGAGCCATCTCCCCAGCCTGTTACTCTTAATTTTAAAGGCATACTTCAGTCAGGTGTGGTGTCACACCTCCGTAATCCCAGCACTGAGTGGGAGGCAGAAGCAGGAGGATCTGGAGCAAGGCCAGCTTCTATTACAGAGTGAGTTTGAGACCAGCTTGGGCTACAGGAAACCCTGTCTTAGAAAGCCAACACAGGTGCACTCACATACATGCAGGCAATACACTCATACACATAAAATTAAAATAATAAATATTTTTTTTAAAAGCCAAATAATTTTTTTTTGGAGGCAGGGTCTTACTATGTAGCCCTGGCTAGCCTGCAACTCACAATTTAGACTAGGCTGGCCTCTCAGAGATCCACCTGCCTCTGAAGTGCTGGGATTAAAGGCACCATGCTACCATGAGCTGGGAATGGAGACATATGCCTTTAATCCTAGCCTTAGGTGGGTCTTTGTGAGTTTGAGTTCTAGGTCAGCCAGTGCTTGTTACATTGTGAGACCCTGTCTAAAAAATTTTTAAAAAAAGAAAAAGAAAAAAGGGGGAAAGTATGTGATTTGTGTAGTT